TTAGGACTATATAAAATAAGGTCTTGAAAGCAAAGTACAAGTGCTATAAGCCCTTAAAAGCCATTTATCCACTTCCTCTGTAATGTTGTTCCTCTAGAGGCCCCTTTCTCTTAACTCTGAAACACCATTTTGATGTTTACTTACCGCAAACATCGGAAGAGTTCTAAAAATATTATAAAGATTCATAAAAATTATGTTGCACCAATTTTTAATAGGAAAAGAGATCAAAGTCACTGAAGATGATTTATTAATTTAGAATGGAGAGAATTGAAAACTGTATTTACAATGGACTATAAAAGTCTGCTTTTCTTGAGAACTGAATTTTAGCCCTATTTCACATTTTTAAAAAAAAGCAGTTTGTTGTCAGGTGCAAAACAGTTGTTCACATGGCTGAACATTCAGCACAGATATAAGTTTTCCTTCCCTCCACTGTTTTTTCAAAGGTACAGGTAACATGTGGGGGGAAAAATAAAAGTTTGTGGGTTCCATGATGTATCTGCTTAGTCCCTGGTACTATTTTTTGTCTCTGAAATATTAGGAACTGGCTGAAAAGGCAAACATTATTGGCATGGTAAATATCCCAGTAGGCCAAGAATTGTAGGGAGTGCCAGCTAGCAAGGTGGAGCATTCTGGAAACTGACAGAATACCAAAAAAAGTGAACATATGACTGAGTGATGTTGTTTAAGTCTACCTCTGGGAATCAGCCTGTGAAGTTCAATGACGTCCTTCTATGTTATCTTTGTGATTACTATGCCTTTTCCTTTCACTCTCTACTTCCACTCCATTTCTATACCTGATCTTAAACCTGGAATAGGGAAAGGGGAAGATTTTTTTTATCAGTGGCACTGAAAATAAAGTAACACAGGTTAACTTCAGTTCACACAAGAATTATAAAAATTTCGCCAAAGGTAGAGTGAAAGTATTGGATGTGGAATGTCTACATTACTCCAGGTTAAAGTTTTTCACTCTTATCACATTTGAATCTTTATGAACAACACAAGACAGTCTGTGTATCTTATAGATGGGTCCTTGTTCAATGAAGGCTTCTCTGTATGACTGTCTGAGATTTATTGCATCAGAAAGATTGAAGTTTCTTTATTAGTAATGTGTTACATAATGCACAAATTAATTAATTTTGTATTTCAATTTTTAAAAATTCTATGAACAGTGGTCAAAATATTAAATCCAAATAAATATCCAGTAAAATTCTTAACTCTAGAAGCAGGTTACAGGAGCTAACATCATACACTTACTTTAGATGGCTGAAACACATTATTCCTTTTAGGTCTTTCTCAGTCCTTTACTTTTCATTTTTGTTATTATGCTAGCTCTTTGCCTTGTTTTGCTTATTAATTTATGTTTTTGTGCCATTGTTTACTTTATCTGGAACCAAATAATCTGGGAAAAGTTTTAAGTCTTTTTAATGTGGGTTTTCCCAAACTTGAAGTTTCCTAGATATAAGTATATAGAAATAAGCTGGAATCTGGTATACTCATTAATACAAAACCATATATGAGAATACTTCAAAAAGTTCATGGAAAGATTTCTATTATCTTTTAATTCTATTTTCCCACAAACTTTCTGAAGTACCCTCATATTTATGAATATATCTATATATACATCTTGTATTTATCTGTGTAGATGCAAATGTGTAAAAATTTATATGCTTTTCTATATGAGTTTATCATTCAATTGATACATATACACGCATAACTGTAATATTGAAAGTAAAAGATTTTTCTTTTTTCTTTTAAAGTGAATAATTTGTTGATTCCCCCCCCCCCACTGAGATTAATTAGTATCATCAGTGCTACCCTGTGAAGTTGATTTTTGAACATTTACCTTAATAATGTTGCAGCCTATTAGACTTCATTACTTGGAATATCATTTCCAGGTCCAACTATTTGAAAGCCAGCTATTTTTTTTTTTAGTAGAAAAAGATTAATAATTTTTTTTTCTGATAAACAGTTGAATTGAAATAGAAAGACAGAGTCTATTCCCTTTCCACAAGGAGACTGCCAAAAATCACTGTCTACATTGCTTATTCTTCATTGTCTATTAGTGTTTTGAGATTGCTAATTACATGTAATATAATGTTTCAATATAATTTTTTTGGCATTATATATACCATTAGCTATTTTCTATACAATAAACCATTCTCTTTATGTCTTAGAAACAACTTTAGCCACTAGAAAAAATTTGTTATAACTTAGGGAATTAATTCTGTTTCTTTGAGTAAAGTATTAACAAACCTCCTTCTTTATGGGAATATTGTAGTACAGCTTCACTAGAATACTCATAAAAATAATAATGACCCCTGATTGGTAACCTATCTTGAGACTGGAAGGAGTGTGGATGGACCATAAATACCTACTGCAGGCCATAGGTTTGGGCTTCTTCTTTAGAAGCCTAGGTATAGTGTGCTTCTTGATACTGGGTGTGTCGCTCCTTGTGGGGATCCCTGAAAGCTGTGTTCATGGGATGTTCCAAGTCTGAACCATTGTGGTTCTAGTATCATTTGTGTGGTCTTGCTGCTTAACACCTGTTTACCACGCTGTCTGTTGCAGGGGCTGGAGAATGGTCCCTGGACTCCACTTACCAAAGAGACATGTTTGATGCTGTCCTGTCCTGCTGATACGTTGTGTTTCTAGCCTGCATCCTTCTACAGAGCTAGTCTGTGTCACATTTTGGCCTATTTAGTCTTGTTAGTTTCATTGTCCTGCTGAACCCAAGACAACTGCTGCCTGTTGAGCAGAATAGGCATTGTATTATCATAAATATTTAACATGAGAAGTATAATAATAAGTAATTCTTTCTTTATTTTTCAGAAATGTGTTACAGACGAGTGTTTCTTTTTTGAACGATTGGAATCTAATAACTACAATACCTACCGGTCAAGGAAATACTCCAGTTGGTATGTGGCACTGAAACGAACTGGGCAGTATAAACTTGGATCCAAAACAGGACCTGGGCAGAAAGCTATACTTTTTCTTCCAATGTCTGCTAAGAGCTGATTTTAATGGCAGCGTTTAATCTCATTTCATATGAAAGAAGTATATTTTAGAAATTTGTTAATGAGAGAAAAAGAAAATAAATGTGTACAGCTCAGTTTGGATAATTGGTCAAATAACTTTTTAGCTAACAGTAAAATATTTAACCATTGCCTCATAAAGAAAAACAACAAAAATTCTCGGAAAATATATAGACTCCCCCTTTTATATAGCATCTACTATTATTCAGTGAAGCTTCCCTAGTGCAACAATCTTTTTTCATACATTTGCTTTATTTAAAAAAAGGCTTTTAAAATGTGCACATTTACAGATTTTCTTCATAGAAAATTAGAGTCAGATATTCAATCAATCCCAAATGTTTACTACTTCCTATAAGATGGCATACATTAATCTACATGCACAATTTACTTAAACACATAAATGTGAATTTAATCCATTCCTGTCACAGTTTTGTAAATCTCTGGCAGTTCCTTGTGATAGAGTTTATAAAACAGTCCTGTGTAAACTGCTGGAAGTTCTTCCATGGTCAGATCGATCTTGTCAAACCCTTCTCGGTACCCATATAGCAGCAGCCTAGCAACTCTGCTGGTTATAGTAGTTGTATTTTCAGTCTTAACTAGGTCATTGAGATCCATCCACTCACATCTTAAGCATTCATGCTGGCAAGGATTTATGGTGAATGAATATGGCTTTAAGCGGCAGATGATATACATATCTGACTTTCCAAAAGCCCCAGGATTGGTGTGCTGTTGCCGAATACTAAGGAGGGACCTGAATTCTGATTTTATACCAGTTTCTTCAAAAACTTCTCGAACTGCTGTGTCTCCTACATAAAAGAGAGATGTACAAATCAACAAGGATCACATTTTTAGAAACTTCAACGATTTTCAGTTAAAGTAGCATTATCTAAAGTATCAAAAACAAAACTTTACCCTAAAGAAAGTAAAGTTTTCAATACAAAGTCTTTGCCTTCTGGACATCCAAATCCCAATTTAAGAAGTTTTAAAAATATTGAATATTTCTTTGGCTGCTATTTGGATGCTTATCCACCTGTACATTTTTGGGGTCAATTGTTTTAACCTCTTCCTGCTCTATTTCCAAAAAGTAAAAATACAGGCTGCAAAAGTTAAAACATATGTAGTAAAGCTGCAGTTAATATTCTGATATGTTTCTTCATTATTATCCTGTTCCTGGTCATCCATCAAAACTGTCTAAATATATATATATATATATATATATATATATATCAACATTGAAAAGAAGTGATCTGTTCTTCCTTACAAAAGTCTGTAGAGCTGTAGGATATACTGAACTATGAAATGATTTTAATCTCTCCTGGTGATCTTGGGTGGGACTGTTAAAACTTCAGGTTATAGAGCAGATTCCTTTATAACCATTTTGTTATGCTGTCAGTGAAATCCCACGATAGTAATTGTTGGCATTTCCTTTGTTTCTTGAAGTAAGATTCCAAAGAACTTGGATTCATTCCTTTCAACATCAAAATACTGTAGTTGTTTTATCAAAAGTTTTTTTAAAAAACTTGGAATATATAACATTTTATAATACAACAAGGTCTTTCACATTTTATAAGGTTGATTTTTCAATTAAATGCAATTTCTGTGGCTAGATTTTTATTGCCTTTAACACATTTTTGTGACTGTCTTTTCTAAAAATTCAGATGGACCCCCCTAAATGGACTTTTCCTAATTTTATGATGCTCTGTCATTGTCTTCTAAAGTATTTATGAGAAGCTCTTTAAAAAGCTTCCTTCCTTGACCACTTTGCTGAGAAGCTTCACAGTTGCCACAAAGATTTTTGTTCAAATACTCTTTAATGCCTCCATTGTTTCTTATTTGTCAAATAGTAAGTAATATTTGCCTTCTCAGTAATCCTACTGGTGAAAAATAGGAAAGTCACAGAAGAATATCTCAATTCAGTGTGCTTTGACTGGAATGTCTAATCAGTTCCCTGGACATGCTCTTATTTCTTCCTCTAAGAAACAGCTCTGGAAAGATACACAGGAAGAGTAAAGTGTTCTAAAATATAAGGCATGTATTTTCCATTTTTCAATTACATGCTGACTTTCCTTATAAATGAGATTTTTTCCCAGAGGTAAAACATGGTTAGAAATTACTTTTTAAACTGAAAGCATAATAGAAGAATCTAGGTTAAGAAAAGAGAAACTTTCCTTAATAAGAAAAATAAGTTTAAATCTGGTATACCAAATATGTTTGTTATTAAATTTATTATTAAAGATTGTGGCACTAGTCTTAAACAACAGTTAAGGGACATTACATAAAATTTAAAAGTGTTTATTTTTATTCCTTAAATGCTTTGAAAAATAACCATGGATGTCCTCTTTAGCTCTTGGTACCACTAATCGAGAGTTCAGCATTGGGCTTATGAGTCTAGGCTGTTTGAATGTCATGGAAGCACAAGACATGGCTAGTGCATGAATCTGCCCTGCTCTATCAGCAGTTGATTGAAAATCAGTGCTGGCTGGTTTTGATCAGTTTAACTTGAATCAGTGCTAGTTTTGATCAGTTTAACTTGAATCAGCATATCACTGACTAGACTGAAAATTGAATAGGCGAATAAAGTGCTTTTATATCCAGTGTATGGGAGATCCCTTCCACCTCAAGATGGAAATCTCTTCCCCAAGGATTTCAACATGAATTTAAATTTTTTATCAAGATAAAGTGCTTTATTCTGTTGTACCTTTATTATTTTAATATTCTATAAGCTAAACAAATACCATTTACTGTTTTATAGGTATGAAGAACATAGGAAAAACTAAGAGGTTTTTTATTTTTGCTGACTAAGAGATATGTTTAAATATTGTTTTGTTTAGTTACAGGACAATAATGAAATGGAGTTTATATTTGTTATTTCTATTTCATAATATTTAATAATAGGATTAGGTTGAAATAAAATAAAATAATAGGAAAAATTTTCAGAATGGGTTTTTCTGGTGTTTCCCTCTGACCCTGCTGCACTGATGATCTCTGATCAGACTAATGCAGGAGATTCTCTTCCTGTCCATGGTAATGAGATTTTTTAGTAAGGCAGTTTGTCCATTTTAACTTTGTAGATAGATATTCTTTAGAGTAATACCTCCTAGGGTATTTTATTATACTTATACCCTTGATTGCATTCTATTTTGTATATGACTCGTAATTTTTCAAAAACACTATGGATAATAATATTCCATTTACCTAATATTATCAAAGAATGAAAGATTTCAAACAAATGTGTTTCCCAGTTAACTAGTGTTTCCTATTTAAGAGCCGATATAAACGTTTGACCAATTGTGACGGCAGTATTCCTGAAGTATATTACATACTTCAGTATTACTCATACTTTCCTAAATACAGGGTATAAAGCAAATAATTTAAATAATTCTTGGATGATTTAGCTTCATGATTAAGAATATCCATTACTTTGTATTGTGTTATGAAAGAGAAATGCCCTCATACAAACAGCCTTTCAGACCTCTACTGTCAGTTATTATTTCTAGCTGCTTTCGGGGTTTCATCAGTTCTATGGCAAAGCTTTAATTTATACTATGCCTAGAAAATGTGAGTGCCAACTGCTGCTTTTTTTCTTAATTCCACGACTGAGGCATATATATGATCTCTGGATAGGTGGGTTGTTGTAACAACTACAAATAAAAATACTTTTTAAAAAGGAATGAAATTTTAATTATCTGGACTTAAAGAAGGGTTCTGTAGTATATGAGGGTACTTCGAAGAGTTCATGGAAAAATTCATATTACCTTCTAATTCCATTTTTCCATGAATGCTTTGAAGTGCCTTCTTATTTAAACCTAAAATTATACATATTTGTTTTGGAAATGTGTTTCTTCATTTATATTTAAATAGAAGTGTATCTGAAATTCAGAGGATCCATAAAAGTTCAAATGAAAAAAATCAATTCATTTGAGAAGGCAAGACTCAGGAGAGGAAGCTACACAAACCTTCTGCAGACTGCTTTTTGCCCATTATGGACTGAGTAAGGATGCAAAACTCAAGCTTAACTATTTCACGTGCTCTCACATGTCACATAGGGACACTGTTAGATAATTAGGTGTTGCAGAATAAATGGCCTCTTTCAGTACTTGCACCACTACCACCCTTTCTTGTCAACAGAAGACCTAGCAGAATCTAAGCAAAAGGTCTATAGGTACCTAAAACCAAGATTTGCTTATCTTATGGCAATCAGTTTATTCATGGATTGTTAGAAATTAATTTTATAATGTGAAGAGGGATTTTGATCTGTGTAACATTTTTAAAAGATCAAGTTTCAAGTACATACACATTTTTAAATAAAGTAGTTAAAGATAATTTAGGAAACTGCCTTAATGTAACTGTCAGCTAAAGAGAACAGGGGACATGCATATTGAGGAAAATGTAATGGAGAAGTAACACTGGTATCAAATGAATTATCAATTGATTTATCTGGATGGAGATGGAATTTGATCCAATGGTTTAAAGAATAGGCAGGAAAATTCAGTGATGTGAAGAATTCTTAGCTTATTTCATATTTCTTGAATATTGAGCTCAGGAGGTTGTTTTAGAGGTTATTTCTCATTTGAGACTTTTCATATGACATTTTACTGTGTTTTGGCTTCCTGACATTCAAAATAAATGGTAGGTAAAATTTTCATGAAGAGAAGAATTACATCACCATTGCTCTATAATTGACATGATTGTACTTATTTCAACATTCATTTAAAAGTTACTATTCATCATTCTGTGATGGAATGATCAAGAATTTGTGTTTTTTCATAGTTTAATTCCAATAACAATTTTTAATCATATCCAAAATAACCCTTAATGCTAAACTTTACCAAGATATATCCAAATCTTCTGATTTTCATACAAATTAATCTACAAGCAGTCCTAAACAGGAGAATAGGTGGTATGTTATCATATCCAAAATAACCCTTAATGCTAAACTTTACCAAGATATATCCAAAGCTTCTGATTTTCATACAAATTAATCTACAAGCAGTCCTAAACAGGAGAATAGGTGGTATGTTTCTAATGGTATTATTTATACTAATGGAATAAGTTGTAATGTTAGAAATTTTGCTGCTAACTTTATATCAGCCCTGAAGTAATCTCTGAAATTTTCTGACTTAGTCTGAACCAATTAGAAAAATTTAAACCCTTATTCTTAGCTGTAAGGCAAGAAAGTAAACACATGAATTTCCTCAACAGTTTCAAGCTATTTAAAAATATGTAAGATACACACCGATATCTTCTCCGGGCTCTGACAGGCCCCCTGGAAACTTCCACATATTTTTCAACTGCAGAATAAATTCAGAAAATAAAGTTAACACAGCATTTATTCACTAATACACACACACACACACATACAAGACTCCACAAAATCCACCCATAATTGGTCAAGGTTGTTGAGAATTTATTTTCTGGTAACTGCATGCAAATTTTTTCCAGCTTCCTTCCTCCCTCCTTTCTTTCTTTCTTTCTTTTTTTTTTTTTTGTGGTGACTGATGAAATCTTTTTGCATCATTTTGTTCAGGAAATAGAATTGGTTCTTTTTGGTTAATGTGATAAATTCTGTATGAATGAAACATTGGAGGGAAACATCTACTGAATTTATGTAATTTAAAAAATTTTCGCTGCTAGTTAACTATGAACAAATAAATAGGAGAATCTTACAGATGCTGCTATAAACAAGTAGAAAATACAGTATAAATGTAATCACTAAAGTATGCTATTTTTAATTTTCACATCTTTTCTTGTATTATGTTTCTAATCAGATATATTACTTTTAAGATTTCTGTTGTTCTATGTGTTA